AAGAAAAAGAAAAAGAAAAAAATACACATTGAAAAAACAATTTGGTATGAGTGTAATCATTATAAAGTGAACTGATAAAATAGGCAGCACATATATAAACTTTCATATTTGCAGCATTATTAGTGAAAGCCAATAGCTGAAGCAATTCAAATTTGTCACCAAATTATTCAGTAGATATAATTTGAAATATAAAAATATTGTATTATTACATGGAATTTTATAAGCAGGAAATATTCTAACAACTGTCAAGATACATTTGACATTATGCAAAATGAAATGAGTGAGCCACAAAAAGAGAGATGGCCTGAAACATATAAAGCAGTTACACTCCTAGGAAAAGAAAAGAGAGTGGTCTCAGGAAAATTTCAGAAAATTAGAAAAACTGGTTGTTGTTTAATGTGTATTCAGATTTAGCTTTGCAAAATCAAAACATTCTAGGGATATGTTGCAGAACACTGTCAATACAATATGACTAAACAGAATATTTAAAAATATTTGGTAATAAATTTTGCTATTGGTTTCTGACAAGTAAAAACAATACCTAAAAATATAGTTACAATAATTTTATTATTTTCAAATCCCAAAGTGTTTCTTCCATACAAAATAATATAGATTCACAACAGGCATTGAAATTAGGAGATTTTTTTATGCCTGCTCACCTAGAAAAGATTGAATAACCATTTACAACAAACCTGCACAACAAATATACAAATTATTTTAAAAAAACAGGAATAATATTTATAGAGGGAAACAAACACAGAGGTAATGATATGGGCAGTAGACATATGGCTGATTCATAGTTGATTTTGCTCAACACTGTCTTACACTGTACAGAGTTAATGTCATACATAATTATAATATAAACCAAAACAACAAAACAGAATTAACTGCTGTGAGGTGGATTACCCTGAAGTACATAACAGAAAAAAATTATATTGCAAAACAAAATTAAAATACAGAATGTAAAACTTATTGGATACCATCAAGTAGATCAATATATTCATGAAAAAATCTTAGAAGCAGAATACAGAGAAAAAGTAATACACAGGTAAATTTAAGACAAAAGAGACTGAGAACTTCCCAGTCTGATGTAATAAAAAAAATCCTAACCAATAATAATTCAAAATTATTTTACTTAAAAAAAAAGATAAAACTAAAGGTTTTCCAGAATAGAAGCTGAGGATATTTATTACAACTACTACAGTCTTATAAGAAACGTTACTTAGTGGCTAGACACTGTGCCTCATGCCTGTAATTCTACAGTTTTAGGAAGCCAAGACAGTCGGATCACTTGAAACAAGGAGTTCAAGAACAGCCTGAGAAACACAGACTCTGCATATAAACAGAGAAATGCTAAAATAGTCCATTATGTTGAAAAATAAATGATGCTGGACAACATCATAAAACCATATATGAATATAAAGCTCTCTATTAAATGTGAACATACAGACATATATAGAATGTTTTACTATCCTAATGATGGTTCATAAAACCCTTAAAAATTCTTCTATAGATATAAAAAACAACATATAAATCTGCATAAATCTCTTACTAGATACACAATATAATTTGTAATAACTATAACAAACTGGAAAATATAGCAGTATAGGTTTTGTATTTAATTGAAGTTATGAAATTAAAATATATTGTTTTAACTTTAAGATGTTTTATGTAATCTCCATTTGTCAAGATGGTTACAGCATACTTCAAGATGATTACATTATATTTATAGAAAGTATGTAAAAACAAAATAAAAAAGGAATCAAAGCATGTCACAACAAAGTTAAACAAAAATTAAGAAAGTAAAACAACAAATGAGAAAAAATATGTCTGCAAGAAACACATAAAACAGTAACAATGAGGTGGTTTCTGCAGATCAGCAGACTTAGTCTTTCCCCCTGCTGGCTCTGAGTAACCGAGCAGTACAGATGTGTGGAATTTCCCCCTGTACGGCACTCACTTTCACCAACCGGCTGCCAGAGAGCTTTTGTTAGCTGGTTCCCAAATCTTGTGCATCCCGACGTGGTGAGACTACCCGGCCCAAGAGGCATTGTTAGACAATTTATAAAACAGTGTTCCCACTGTCATCAGGTGGTGCCCCTCTGGGATTAAAATCTCAGAGAAAGGGGCAGGGAGTCATCTCTGCAGTTCTGCGGCCTCTACTGGTGACACCTCCAGGTGGGAGAGAAACCCGGGCAGAGTCTCAAGTAGATTCCCAGCAAATCACAGCAGCCAGACAGGAAAAAAAAAAAAAAAAAAAAAGCCTGGCCAGGCACGGTGGCGCCTGCCTGTAGTCCCACCTACTCGGAAGGCTGAGG